AATTGAACTTTTAAAATAGCTATACTTATAATATGCTTGTTCAAATAATATACCATTATTAACTAATTTTATTACTTCTATGTGACAAACGCTTTTAATTATAATCAAAATTGACGTGTTTAATATTTTCGAAAATTGATTTGTAAAGATAAAATTCGATACAAAGGTAATATAAAATATAATAGATTATTTAATATAAAATATAAGGTTAATATTTAATTTGTGATATACGATACGAGATATTAGACATAAGATAAAACTCATTGTAAAAATAAAGTTCAACAAAAATTTTCATAAGCTTTAGATAATATGTGATAATATGATTAAACGTATTGTCGTATAGCATTAAAGTATTATAAAAGACTTTATAATTTCAATTCCCATTGTATTTAACCAAGAATTTATTGAATGTTATTCTGATTATGGTCGTTTATCAATTTCATTTACAGTTTAGATTGTACAATTTCAATTGTATTAGTGTGAAAACTACAAAGGTAATAAAACAAAAAATTATTGCGAACAAAAATAAAAACTTGTTTTGTTTGATAAATACTTACATGATCATTATCGTTTTATGTTTTAATAATACATATTTGGAATTTTTGTAGTTTTAAATAAGACATTTCACATATTGAATATGAAGACTAAATTCTTTCAATTAATTTAATTTGGTGTTATTTTTAATTACAGTTTTTAATTACAGTCAATTGTATAAAATGTACAGATAAAATTTCATTTTGGAAGTTCAGCATAAAGTTGTTGAAACAGCTCCATCTATACTGTATCTCTTGAAACTATTCTACTTTTATCACTAATTTAAAAAAAAAAATGCATTTTTCATTATTTGGACGAGAAAAATATTATACGTGTTTAGTACTTCCGAAAATAATAATTAATTTATAAAAATGATTTCAAAAATGAATAAATAATTTCAACTTTATGTGTCTATATTTCTTAATCAATTTTGAAATTAGAAAACTAATGAATTAACTTAACTTCGTTCTTAATTTCATTTAAATGAATAAACTTAATGTTGTTAAAATCACTGACATCACGGTACAAAAGTCATTGAGTTGAAATGACCCGTATTTACATGAATGTGTGAACACGTGATAGTGGCGCGCTCCTGCGTTTATTTAGCAAATGATAACATCATATTGGAAAAAGCACAACAGAGTTATGATATTTTACAAAAGAAAAGCAAGTAAATTAGAGTGTTATAGTTGATTATTGAACAAACAAATTTTCCAGTGAAATGGTTTCAAGATCAAAGTGTATGTTTAGTTATTGGAAGAAATGTAATAAATGTGAACAAACTTTTATATGAAATTAGTTGCATTTGGTAAGTGTCAAACAATTATTTTGTTGAAAGAACTCTTTAGGATAATTTTTATATTATGATTATTTCCAATTTTTATGTAAATGATTTTGAAACATAATAATTAATATTATTTGTAAGTAACATAAAGTTGAACGAATAGTATTCGTAAAAATACAGAATTTTTATACATTTGCACATAATTTATCATATGAAAATTTTATCAAAATAATATTCAGAGATTTAGCATTTGTCTGCTTCTATCAAAACCATATATTTATTATATTATAGATTTTTGATTTATAAACAGATATTTATTTTATCAATGATCAAAAATTTCACTGTTATTTGTTAATATGGAAGTTGAATCATCAAACTGTATATATAAAATACAAGTTGTTGATCGAGCTCGCAAAATACCAAGTATCAATTATTTATGGGATAAATCTACTAAAGTATATGGTCGTGTAAAAGATACAAATATATTTGTACACTGGGCATTTAATACTATGGAAAATGTTTTTAATACAATGATTGAAAAGTCATTACCAGTTGCCAAATTAATAGAGAAACCGATTTGTACACTTGATAAAACATTGTGCCAAGGACTTGATTATGTAGAAGTAAAATTACCTATAATAAAAGAAGAACCAAAACAGGTTATATAAATTTCAATGATTATTTTATTTATGATTTTATTCATAAAATTTCATACTTTATATTGTTTATTGTTTTAGATAATAAATCGGACTAAGTCTCTTGTATCAGAACGTCTAAAACCAGCTGTTAAAACATTTACAAATATAAAACAAGGAACGAGACATAAAGTTAAAGTTATAAAGTTACATACTTATTATAGAGTTCATTATTTGAGAATGTATAGTTGGCAACAAGCAGATAGAGTTATGTCAACTGAAATAGGAATTAGTATTTTAAAAACTGTTGACAACACAACTGATTTTGTTGAATTAATATTGGATAAATACTTGCCTGTTCCATATGATGAATTTCACAGTAATGAAACTGGTAAAATGATATTTTTAATATGTGATATTACAGATATCATGAAAAAGATGTTAACATTATTTAGCAATTAAAGGCTATTATTTATTCCTTATAGAAAAGTTATGTATTGAAGATGCCAAACTTCATCATACCATGGGGAGATTAAGCAAATTTAGTTCTCGTACTTCAAAACGTATTTACTTTGCTTTGATGGAACTGCAACATTTTTATAGACTGGAAATTCGTTTATTGATATCTGATATTATCTGTATATTATTATTTCTTAAATACATGGTATATGGTACATAATGTATAATATATTGTTTATGGCAATTTATTCAAAATGTGATATATTAAAATTACATTTGACATACTGTTATGTATTTACAATAGTTTACTAAATAAAATTATTAAATTACTATGTTAGACATGAAAGACAATCTTTAAATAATGAATATACATTTTATAATGAGAAGTGAAGGACAAAATTAAGGTGAATTTAATAACTTGTGATATTACAAACTTAGAATAACTTTAAAACAGTAAAATATCAGTGTTGAAATATGTTTTGGGTTCTGTTATATTTTATATATAATAATTCAATGAATTTTGAACTTATTTTGCAAAGTAGGTAGTGTGTGTATGAAAGGAATATATCTATTAATAACAAAACAGAAGTTACTGTTTTAAGAATTATTACAAGTATTCAATAAATTAATCATGAATAAATTATAAGATGTTGTAGAATGATACATATGTTTGAGTGACAGATATTAAAGAAATATATTTACTTACTTTTATTTCGCATTTCAATTTATTAAAAACATTATGATGATAATTTTAAAAATTGTATTTTTTTATGAATAGAAGCAGTTATCATACTAGGAAAAAAATATTACCATCAATTAACCTTTTAGTATAAAACTAAAAAATAATAATATTAATATGTTTCCGTTTAGGGTTAGTTTGATTTCATAATGTTGTATATTGTTGAATTAGTCTTCATATCAGTTATAATATCACATTATAAAAAAGTAAAATTTGTTCTAGAACTTCTGAACATTAAGCAATCTTGCAAAAAGTTAAGAAAAAGAATCCAAAAACTCAGACATTTTCTTATATATTTTTTTAAATATAGTTGAAGAATTGAACTCTTTAAGTAGAAAAGAGTTATTTTTGAAGAATAATTTGTAGCATTTGTGTATATTATGCTTTGTAGTAAAGAATACCAAACATCCCTTGCATTGAGGTTATTCTATCTATTTATAGATAGAATAATTATCTATTTATCGAAAATTATTCATTACAAAAAAAAAATGTATCTATTTATAGAATAATATATTGTTGCAAAATGACAAATTAAAATGAAATTAGTCTGAATCTAATTCTTGTTTTTCGCAAATAACATCGGTAATGTTTCGGTCGAACCACGATATATGTATATATTCTTACTTTTCTTTTGTATAAAATTTTGACATATTGATAATGTATTTTCTACCAGATTTCATTATCAAAACTTCTAACTTCTAGTTTTCTCTACTTCTTTTATTTATAAACATTGAATCTAATTGTTATTTTTATGATTCTATTCATTGTTACTTTTCATAAAAATATTATTGCTATACAAATTTCATATAAATTTCAAATATTCATACAGAAATCTTTGATTAATAGATAATATAGTGTATATAGAAATGTCGATTCTCTTCAATCTGCTTGCGTCTTAAATCTATTCGAGATAAGAATAGGAAACTTTAAATCTGATTGAAAGAAATTTATTTAAATGCAATCGTATTTGGTATCATTTTCATTGAGAGAACAATTTAATTATAAAAATCTTATAATTACTAAGTAAAAGATATACAAATTACAATTTTTCAATTTTTATGTCTCATTGTTAACTGTAATATCGTTACTAATGCGCGCGCGCGCGAGGGAGAGAGAGAGAGAGAGAGAACACGTATTCTTTCCATTCAAAACCATCAAATATTGGAGATAATTGTACATATATTTATTACTGAGGAAAGAAATGCCCCATTAACAAAGGAAGACATTCGTTCTCTAACAAGGGAGTATTGTATGTCGTAATTCTTGGATTAATAATAATGAATTTCCGCTATATTATAGTGGAAACGTTCTATACGTATGTGTTATTAAACCCAAGAATAATACTTCATAATTTTTTTCTGATTAGTTTGATGTTTCCTTCTCTGATCGTCTTTCTTTAAAGATAAGCAGAGTATAGAGCATAAGGATTCGATTTGCGTGATCATCATTATCGCGACGCGTGATTAATTTTCATTTTTTGATGCACTGTCTTTCACATATATATAGCAATGGTAATTTGCAAGTATCAAAATTGCAAGTATAAATAATAATAAATAGATTTTTGATAACTTTTTATGTAATGAAAATAGTTTTAATTTTGAGTCATTCGTTTTATGGATTTAACAAATTTTCTCCCTATTAAGAATTCTAAAGATGATATACAATCAAATTTTTATAATTATAATATAATCATATTATAATAAATTTTTACTTAATGTTTTTCACTTTCAGATACTTTTAGCTACTACGATATATAAATTTTTAGAAAGTGATAAAAAGTAATATAGTATAGAATTTTGAGTTACTCTTTTCCTTTTCAAATTCTACAATTTATTATAAATAATACATCTTTTATAGAATGTAAATTGCGTATTGTACGATAAATTATTATTAAAATAAGCCGTGTGGTGCGAGAGGGGTGCCATATTTATTTTGTTTTATAGATTCGAAAACTATTAACTGTCATTTCGAATATTTAAAAATCAATATTTTTGTTTAAACAAGATTCTTTTATGTCAATATCTAAGAGCATATCAAATCGCGAGTAAAAAAATATCGCAACTTTTATTGATTCTATGTTTATTTAATTATCCTAAAATTTCTAATGCTCATATTTGAAAAATAAAATTCTATATAAGTTATCACATAATGAAACTTTTTTTTTTTACTTTTTTTCTATTATAAAGAATTAATATATCTTGATTTAATATATAATTTTGATTTATGTATTTGTATAATATAAAGAAATTGAGTCCTTTTGTTAGTAAAAAAAAAGGGGTTTTATTTTTAAGTTGTGTTTTTTTGATTACATTTAAAGAAATATAAGCTGATGATAGCGCCGAATGACGTATTAGATATGATCATTGAACTGTCTGAATTAGAACTTTAATTTATCATTATTAAGAATGGGTGACTTTATGTTGATAATACATAATAAATTTAAATGCTATGACCTATTGTAAAAAATCAAATTTAAAAAATTATCCAATATTTATCTAATAATTCTTTTTTATTCCAATGCAACTAAAACAATAAAAATAATGAAAATAAAATAAGCTTAAAATTTTATGTTATGTGTAATAAGTTTTAAATATTTTACATTATATATTATTTATGTAGATATTTTATATTATAAATTATATTTATATGTAATAAGTTTTAAATAAATTTTAATAATTACTGTTATTAGTGAGATTTAATAATTATATAATCATAATTTAATAATGTAATACATAGCTTTGTATTTACTTCATGGCTTGCTCGAATTTTTTGTCGTATGGTATGAGAGATATGAAACATATATTTGTGCAAGAGGTATTAATATTAATTGATTAAATATGTTTTAATACAAATTTTATATTTAATCAATATTTTTAATTAAATTTCATATTTGCAAATATTAATTTTTATCAATTTTCTATGTTATTTTTAGGGTGGTTACGAGTGAGAAGTGATACAAACGTCTATGAAGCCGACTTCCATATAAGAAATTTCTGTAATACTCACAAATGATTCAAGCTTTGATAACATTGGTAATCAGAAGATGT